TCGGGGAAACCAAGCGGAGGCTTGGGGACCGCTTTGCAGAACACCTACGCTCGGTTCGCACTAAACAACTGCACCTCCCAGTCGCGAACCATTTCAACTCCCCCTCCCATTCCTCAGACGACATGTCCATCCTGGGCCTCCTGCAGTGCCACAACGATGCCACCCGAAGGTTGCAGGAACAGCAACTCATATTCCGCTTGGGAACCCTGCAGCCCAATGGTATCAATGTGGACTTCACAAGCTTCAAAATCTCCCCTCCCCCTACCACATCCCAAAACCAGCCCAGCTCGTCCCTGCCTCCCTAACCTGTCCTTCCTCCCACCTATCCCCTCCTCCCACCTCAAGCCACACCCCCATCTCCTACCTACTAACCTCATCCCGCCCCCTTGACCTGTCCGTCCTCCCTGGACTGACCTATCTCCTCCCTACCTCCCCACCTACATTCACCCTTACTGGCTCCATCCCCGCCTCTTTGACCTGTCTGTCTCCTATCCACCTATCTTCTCCTCTATCCATCTTCAATCCGCCTCCCCCTCTCTCCCTATTCATTTCAGAACCCCCTTCCCCTCCCCCATTTCTGCAGAAGGGTCTAGGCCGGAAACGTCAGCCTTCCTGCTCCTCTGATGCTGCTTGGCCCGCTGTGTTCATCCAGCTCTACACCTTGTTATCTCAGATTCTCCAGCATCTGCAGTTCCTACTGTCTCTGAAACAGTTATCCAGTTTTGGTCTCCTTACTTGAGGAAGGATGTGGTGACACTGCAGGTAGTTCAGGAGAGATTCTCCAGATTGATTCCAGGGATGAAAGGGCTGTCGTATCAGGAGCAGTTGAATAGCTTGGGCTTGTACTCACTGGAGTTCAAAAGAATGAGGAGGGGATCTGATTGAGGTATTCAAATACTGACAGTGATTAATAGGGTGGATGTTAAACTGATGTTCTTCCTTGTGGGTCAGTCTCAAACAAGAGATCATAGATATATACTGAGAGGAGGTAGGTTCAAAACTGAGATGAGGAAAAACTACTTCTCTCAGTGGATTGTGAATCCATGGAACTCACTGCCCTTGGAGAGAAATGGACGCAAAATCAATCAGCAGATTCAAGAATGAAGTAGATATGTTTCTCAAGAAAGGCCCTTCAAAGACCCCTCCCAACCCAGTTATAATCTCTTCCAACCTCTTCCATCAGGCAGAAGATACAAAAACTTAAATACATGTACCAACAGGCTCAAGACAGATGTTATTAGATTTCTGATTGGACCTCTCAAATTCCAAATCTAATGGGGATCTTGCTTTTGTGCACCTTCTTTGCAGCCCTAACTTTGTATTCCTCACTCTGTTCAATCACCCTATGATCTTTGTATGGTATGATCTGCCTGTACTGCACTTGAAACAAAACCTTTCACTGTACTTAGGGACATTTGACAATAATAAATCAAATCCAATCAAATCAAAAAGCAGGTTAAAGAACTATGGGGAGCAGACAGGAGAGTGGAGTTGAAACCAGGATAAGATCAGCCGTGATCATGTTAAATGGCAAAGCAGGCTTGAAGGGCTGAACTGCCTATTCCTGCTCCTAATTTCTATGTTCCTCTGTTCCCTCCTAAGTCTTGGTCAATATTTAACCCTCAATCAATGTCACTGGTCGTGATCTTGTTACTGTTTAGTTTTTGTGCACAAATCCATTCCATGTCCTGCGTAATGGTAATTCCTTCAAAAAACCCTTCATTGGGTGCAGTGCACTCAACAACATCCTTGGACATGAAATGCATTTTACATATGCAAATTCCTCTTTCATGCAGTAGGGGTCAAAATTGTAAAAAATGATGATGTGGAGGTGCCGGTGTTGGACTGGGGTGGACAAAGTCAGAAATCACACGACACCAGGTTATAGTCCAACAGGTTTATTTGAAAACACAAGCTTTTGGAGCCTCAGTCCTTCTTCAGGTGTTAGTGCACATTCAAAGGACACAGGGAACTGGATTTGTTTATCTCAGGCGCACATACTTGACACCTCCAACAACACCCCTGCTGTTAGTTCAGCAACTTCCACCAAAGAGTCTACTACCATTTAGCAGATAACTTGTTCATTATCACAGGGTTGCTTGTGGCAGGGTGCTGTGCTCAAACTGGTTGCTGTACCTCCTAGATTGCAACTGCATTTCTAAACATTAATTTCTAGTTATCTGCAACTAATCTTGAATGAAATTAATGTGTGTTTTAAAGCAATCACCAAGGATACCCAAGAAAAATATGATCTTTTAGAAACTGTCACTTGGTAGAATAGAACATGAATATTCTGTAGAGAGAGGCATTTTGCTTCAGCTTTTCATCTGTACTGATAAAGAATGTCAAATTTCAAATGAGCTAAACAATTTATATTAAGAGAGAAAGTATGCTGATTATTAGGGTCAAGACACGGAGACAGAACCAAATCAGCCTTTCTACCTCTGTATTTGCAACACAGTAAAATTAAACCATCAGAGGTGCCCAATAGTTACTCCAATGGTTCCTAACCAGACGATTCAATAATCAATCCCAGACTTTATGAATAATTAATTTCAGACACTGTTTTTGTATCACAAACAAGAAATTTAACCACTTAGTATATACACAATAGCTACAGCAGAAAAAAAAATTAAACAACAACATAATCTGATTAATGTCTATGCTTTAAACCCGAAACATTTGTAATCATTTGTTATCATTTACACAGAAGACAGACAAACAAACACAGTTAAAGGATTTTGAAAGAAAATAATGGAACTGGCCAGATTATTTAAATAGCTTTCACAATGTGTTATACTGTCAGAGAGATGTACAACATGGAAATAGACACTTTGGACCAACTCATCCATGCTGACCAAATTAATCTAGTCCCACTTGCCAGCAAATGGTCCATATCCCTCTAAACCCTTTCTATTCACTTACACATCCAGAGGCTTTTCACATGTTGTAATTGTACCACACTCCACACTTCCACTGGCAGCTCATTCCATTCACGCACCACCCTCCGCACAGAAAAGTTATCCCTTAGGTCCTTTTTAAATCTTTCCCATCTCACCTTAAACCTATGTCCTCAAAGATTTGGACTCCCCCATCCTGGGGAAAAAACCTTGACTATTCACCCTATCCATGCCCCTCATGATTTTATAAATGCCTGTAAGGTCAGCCCTCAGCCTCCGACAGTCCAGCCTCTGACAGTTTCACGGGCATAGATGTGGAGTGCTTGGTTGCTTTTCGGGAGTAATCAATCAGGGTCACCTTCTCAGCTCACTCAGGAAAAGGTAGTAATGCTTCTAATTTATCTTTCTAATCTCTGGGCTTCCAACAGCTGGTCTGGGAGATTAGGCAGGGTCCTTACAATTTGGCATGCTGCTTCATACTAGCCAAGCTCATTTCCTTCAGAAAACACAGTTCAAAAACAACTCCAACTCTGGTTCCTCCTTAATTGGGGGAGTCTATAAGTGTGAAGCTGAAAAAGCACAGGAGGTCAGACAGCATCAAAGGAGCAGGAAAGTCAATATTTCAGGCTGAAACCCTTTGTCAGGACCTGACAAAAAGTTTTGACGTGAAACGTTGACTTTCTGGCTCCTCTGATGCTTCTGTCCTGCTGTGCTTCTCCAGCCTCACACCTTTGGACTCTGGTCTTTATTGTTTCCTCCCCAATAGACTGTCCGTTCCCAAGGCCTCAATTACATTTCAACATCTGCCATTTGTTTGGACATAGAGTCTCTTCCAGACCTGCTGGAACCAACTCCCAGGTACTAACCTCATTAATAGCCAACTTCAGCTATCTGTTTAAATACAATTCCTGGATTGCAGTGGTTGTAGGAACCCTTTTGGTCAAGAATCAGCTTGTGATTATCTTCCAGACCTGGCCTGACAAATAAACAAAGGCTTGTTTGATGTGTTCTTTTCCTTCTATCACAAGCTGTTCCACAACATTCACAAGTCATCTTCAGCTCAAAATCAAAATTGATAAAAGAATAAGAAAAATGAAAAAAAGCAGCAAGGGTTCCAACAGTAGACAGTTTGACACTGATGGATTGAGGCCTTGCCATGAAGAAAGCACACAAGTTCCCAGGTAATGCAAACAAAAGAAGAATGCAAATCTTAAACATATCCCTTGCGTTTGCAGAGGGTGGGGCCCCACTTTGTGAATATGAACATTTTTAAAGCTTTATTTTAGCAGCTTTTTTTCTCATGCAAACTTCTTTGAGACAAACATGAAATCAGAAAGCTTGCAACTGAATACACAAAGGACAGTAACAATAAAATACAGGGAATGTGGCAGAGACAGTCATGCCAGGATAGGGTTCCTGAGCCCCAAAAGGCAATGCCCAGGAAAAAGATGAACACCACAGCACAAATCAACGTCTGACAAGACATGAGGCAGCCATTGTCTTCAACTGTTGTTTCAATGATTCAATGAGATCCACTTCAGTTCTGTTTAATTCATTGGAGTTAATCCCTGGGATTCAATACATTTTTCACACCTTCTCACCCACAGAACCACAAATGCGCAGGCGCGGCAGGAGGACGCTGTTGGCACGCAGGTGCATCGGCCGGGCCCGGCTTCCATGCAGGCGCACTGATGGGCCTCAGGTTCAGCGCAGGCGCAGTGGCTGTGCCCCGCTGTGACGCAAGCGCACTCTGCAAGATTCGGGCGCCCCGCGAAGGAAAATTTTTCGTCCGCACGAAAAAAAAGAGTTTTTATTTTCCTCCCGGCGCCGGACATTCCTCCCGGGAGGCAGCGGCGGCAGGAGTAGGAGGACGGAGAGCGGGGCCCGGCCCGGAATTGACTCGGGAGAGATTCCGCCGCCTGCGGCCTGGATGCTCAGCACTCGGGTAAGAGCAGCGGGGCCTCGGGGTTGAGGAGAGGCTTAAGGCCTTGAGCGAGGGGAATGGGGGAATGTGGTGGGGTTGGGGAAGCTCAGAGCCTCGGTAAGGGAACCGGGAAGGCGGTGGTCTGTACTGAAAATAGGTTCCCCCCACACCCCCCAACGATTGCGGCCTGTGGCCTACCCCCGAGCTTAGTCCTGTTTCTTCGGCTCCAGCTTCCCTGAGCGTCCCTGGACTCGCTGGGGCAGAACTGTCATGAACTTGCTGCTGAAACAAGGACAGAGCTCTAACCAGCTCCAGGAAACAGCATTGGAGACTTCGCTCCTTGAGCCAGGGTTATAGAACAACACTATCACTCGATTATAACACCGGGGCTCAGTACTGGTGGGGACAGGTCTGTGGCTTTATAATACCGGGGCTCAGTACTGGTGGGGACAGGTCTGTGGCTTTATAACACC